GGGGGGGGGGGGGGGGGCTCCTCCCAGGGCTAGCCAATTCCCAGAGAAAGCAATCAACTCCCCTGGGTGCACGCCTTTCATATGCAAACCAACCAACCCAGAGCTATTGGGCTAAACTCTCAACCACTTCCTTTACCTCTCACAGGGCTCTAACATGCTGGGCCACTGTTTCCCCCCTGATCCTCCCCCCCCCCCCCCCCCCCCCCCCCCCCCCCGCCGGCCTTGGTCATCCCCGACAACTGGGGGCAGCCCCTCTGCCCCAGAGTCCACCAAAATTATTCCAACCAGCAGATCCCAAACCCATATACCCAGACAGAGCCACCAAGCCTGTTCTGTCACTAAAACCACAACAAAGTCTCCTGCCTGGTGCTTCCTCAACTCCTTCTGCTTCCTAAGGGGCCTGGTGCTTCCCTGGTGGCTCCCCCAGCCCACGTGGTGGCGCCCTCTTCTTGGGAACTGTAAATAACCAACTCTTTCCCATTGCAGCCTCACCATACCCAGATAAGAAAACCCACATACTAAAACGGGCCCATTCCTCTAGAAGCAAACGTCATCCCCAGACATCCTGGAATTCGGAGTTAGAAAACTCACATCCAGGGGCCAGGACTCGGGGGGTGAGGTGTCCCCTGGATGACTTCAGAAACGAAGGAGGTGGCGTGGGGCCTGGAGCCACAGGAAGAGGGCAGGACTGGTCAGCAGGCAGACCCTGGCAAGGAGGCGGACGGCTCAGAGGTACTGAGGTGAGCACGGCTTGGAGAAGAGGGACACAAAGGAAGCAGGACCATGACCCAAGTCCCAGGCGGCGCAGGGCAGGCTCCGGGCTGGCCTTAGCCATCCAGCTCCTCCTTGACAGTGATGCGCAGGGGGCAGATGCGCAAAGGCTCGGGGGGCCCGTCCCCCCGCGCGCCCCCCAAGTAGAAGTAGGGCCGCACCTCCCCGAAGTGGGCGTGGAAGGTGTAGAGGTGGCAGTGGCTCTCAGCGTCGTAGAAGGACAGCTCGCCCTCCTCACACTCCAGCTCCACGCGCAGGCGGCGAGGGATAGCCGGGACCAGAGGTGACGTGGCCGGGTCTGAGGTCACGCAGTGGTCCCCGTCCACCCCCTGCGTGCGGCACACGTACCAGAAGCCAGAGCGGGTGTCATGGTAGCAGCTGTGCGAGTGGCCCTCGGCGCCGGCGTCCTGGCGCAGCCGCACCACACCCACCCGCCAGCTCGGCAGCCCCCCCAGGTCCACCTCCCAGGTGTGGGAGCCCTGGGAGAAGACGCGGGAGCCCAGCAGGCAGGGCGCCGAGGAGAAGCGCTCCGGGTTCTCCACCTGCACTCGGTAGCCGTGGTTGGTGACGCTGGTGAGGTCATCGGACACAGAGAGCCAGCCGGCCGCAGTGTTGGGATCAAAGCTGAAGGGCACTGAGAGCAGAGGCGGGAGGTGGGGGGAAATCAGCAAACCTCATGTGCCACCCTTCTGCCATGCCAGTGGTACCTGCCATCCCCCCAAAGCGACCCACTGCGTCCCACCTGGCCGCAGCGCCCGGAGGGAGCCGTCGGGGCCCGAGGGGCCGTGCTACAGGTTGAATCGTGCCCCACCAAAAAGGATGCTCAAGTCCTAACTGTCAGTGCCTTGGAAGGCACGCTTATTTGGGAATGGGGTCACGGCAGACGTGATTAAGATGAGATCAGACAGGAGTTGAGTGGGACCTTAACCCAATATGATTGTTGTCCTTAGCAAACAAAGGAGAAGAGACACAGACACACATGAGGGGAGAAGGCCAGGTGGCGACAGGGGCCGAGACCACAGGGCTACAGCCGGCAGCCAAAGACAGCCGGGAAACGCCAGAAGCCAGCAAGTGGCAAAGAAGGTTCTCCCTATAGGATTCAGAGGGAGCATGGCCCTGCTGACACCTTCATTTTGGACGTCTAGCCTCTGGGACCGTGAGCAAGTAAATCGGTCATTTGAAGGCATCCAATGTGCAGTCCTTTGTTACGGCAGCCACAGGAAACCAATAGAAGCAGGGACCCTGGATGCTCACACAACTCCCATATGATGGAGAGAAACATGTGACATTCCTCTGGGTCACTGACAGCTCTCTCTATAAAATCATGACGTCACTGTCAGCTTGGGTTGTACACAAAAATACCACAGACTGAGTGGCTTAAACAACAGAACCGTCTTTCTCATAGTTTTGGAGACCAAAGTCTGAGACTGGAGCACAGCGTGGTTGCGTTTTGGTGACACCCTCTTCCTTGCTCACAGATGGCCACCTTCTTGCTGTGTCCTCACAGTGGGGGAGAGAGGGACAGGAAGCCAGCTCTCTGGTGCCTCTCCTTATCAAGGCACTAATCCCATCATGGGGCTCCATACTCATGACCTCATGTAACCCAATCACCTCCCAAAGGCCCCACCTCCAAATGCCATCACATCGGAGGTTAGGGCTTCAACATATAATATAAGGGGATGCAAACACTCAGTCCTTTCATCACCTATACAATACCATTCTGAAAAGAGAGAGCAGCCGGTTCCTCTTTCTGCAGAGGTGGCCGAGGGTCAGGACCCAAAGAGGAAGGGGTTCTGACAGGAGAGCTTTGAGCGGTGCGGTGGGGCAGTGGGTGGAGAGGGCACCAAGGACCTGTCTGAAAGGGGCTGGAGAAGGCCCTACAGGGTGGGAAGCTGAAAGAAATGAGTCTGGCTGGTTCTCCGCCTCACATGAAGCGCCTCCCCTGCCTGTAACCCCTGGCCGCGCCCCCACACACCAGATTCAACAGATGTGACCATCTTCCGCCAGACGTGGTACTGCAGGGAGTCCAGATATTTGCAGATGTCGATGAGCATGCCGGGCTGGACCGGTTCTGGCTCCATGGTGCAGAAGAGGCTGGAAAAGGAGAAATGGGCCGGGTAGGCAGGGCCAGAGCCAGGCATCCTGGGCCTAACTGGGTCAGCGGGAAACAGGCAACAGGACTCACTCCTGGCCACCCTACCCAAGACAAAGCTGGGATGGGCTCTGATGGGACAGGAGCCAATAGCCACCTAGGCTGCTCACAGCTCCTCAGGATTCAGTATGCAGGGTCAACCTTCCCCAGCTGGGAAAAATATAAACAGGAGGTTCTCAGACATAGGTTCCATCCTTGTGGGCAGAAGTCATACGTATATATCTGCTCATGGGATGTCTGAGGCAGAAGGGACTTTAAGGGTCCTCTAGTCCCAATGTCTGAAGTTATCGGTTTGCTTGAACACCTCCAGTGACAGGAAACTCACTACTTCCCTAAGCATTCTCTTCCCTCTTTGTGCAGCTTGGACTGGAATATATAGTTCATCACTGTGAACCCAAAAGCCATCAACACAAACCAGCCTCTCTCAGAGAGGGAGGCTAACCAAGAGACAAGCCTAAATGTTGGGAGGACCCGCTGGGAAATCAAGCCGTGTGCAGGATGACGCATTCTCTCCCCGCACAGTGGATGGTCATTTTCCACACTCAGGAAAACAACACCTCACCACTGCCAATTGAAGTGGGATGACTTGAAAGAGGGCTCTCTCCACCTGGCCAGTCCCCACCAATACCTCTGGGTTCCACCCAGCTGGCTTCATTACCTGCCTGGTCCTGGAGCCACTGCAGTGGGCACCCCCTGTATTTCTGCCTGCTTTTCCCCTCCCCTCCACCAGCCTTGACAACTTACCGGCGTTTTCGGCTTTTGTGTTTCTAAAAGAGAAAAAAAAAAAAAAAAAACAGAGACATAAACACAGGGAAGAAAAAAAACCGTTAAGTTTCTGACCTCAAAAGGAGTCCTACATCCTATGTTCATGGATCAGAGGACTTAATATTGTTAAGATGGCAATACTCCCCAAACAGATCTACAGATTCAATAAAATTCCCATCAAAAATTCCAGCTGGCTTCTTTGCAGACACTGACAAGCTGATCCTAAAATCCATATGGAAATTCAAGGGACCCAGAATAGCCAAAACAATCTTGGACAAGAACAAAGTTGGTGGCTCACATTTCCCAATGGCAAAGAGTATTAAAGCAACAGTGGTCAAGACGGTGTGGCACTAACATAAGGACAGACATAGCTCAGTGGGCACTGAAAGTCAAGAAGTAAAGCCTCCTATTTACTGTCACTCGGTTTTCCACAGGGTGCCAAGGCCATTCGATGGAGAAGGAATGTCCCCGGTGCTGGGACAACTGGGCATCCACGTGCAAAAGAATGAACCTGGATTCTCACCTTGCACCATATACAAAAATTTTAAAAATTAACTCAAAGCCTTAAATGTGGAGCTAAGCCTATAAAACTCGTGACCTCGTGACCTTGATTAGGCTATGGTTTCTTAGATATGACACTAAAAGCACAAACAGGAAATAAAACACAGATAAACTAGAATCCATCACAGTGAAAAGCTTCTGTACTTCAAATGAAGTTACCCAAAAAGCGAACAAATAACCCACAGAATGGGAGAAACTATTTATAAATCACATACCTGATAAAGGTCTAGTATGTAGAATATATAAAAACCCTTATTATTCAACAAGAAAAAGACAAGCAACCCAATTTAAAAAATGGACACAGGGCTGGAACACACAGTTCCCCGAAGATATACAGATGGCCAACAAGTCCCTGAAAAGATGCTCAACAGCATTAGCTGAAGAAATGCAAATTAAAACCACAATGAGATACCATTTCACAGCCCTGCAATGTCCATTAAAAAAAAAAGGAAAGTAAAAAGGCCCGTGTTGGCAAGGATGTGGAGAAATTAGTCCTCATACACTGCTCATGGGAATATAAACTCTGCGCAGTCGCTTGGAAAACAGTGCAGCAGTTCCTCAGTTAAACTTACTAGTTACCATATGATTCAGTAAATCTCCTTAGACACATACTTAAGAGAAAGGAAAAAGTACGTCTACACAAAAACTTACACATGAATGTTTATAGCGGTGTGATTCATAACAGCTCAGAAATGGAAACAACCGAAACGCCCATCAATTGATGAATGGATACATAAAATGTAGTATATCCCTACAATGGAATATTATTCAGCCATGTCCTGATACATGCTGCGACAGGATATAGTTTCAAAACATGCTGAGTGAAAGGAGCCAGTCACAAAAGGCTGCATCTGATAGGATTCCATTTATGGAAATCATTTATGGAAGTGTCCAGACAAGGCAAATCCTTAGAGGCAGAAAGGAGGTTAGCGTTTGCTGAGGGCTGATGGTGGGGGTGGGGAGGGGGGGCAGAGGAGGGCGACAGCTAAAGGGTATGTTTCTGGAGACAAAACGTGCTACAGTGGATTGTGGTGATGGCTGCAGAATTCTGTGAATAGAGCAAAAACCACTGGATTGTACGTTTTAAATAAATGAATTATGCAGTATATGAATGATATCTCAATAAAGCTATTATATATATATAAAAAAAAAAGTCACAAAAGCATCCCTGAAAGCACAATGGGTCCTGGCCACTCCCAATTTCCTGAACAGAAACAGCAAAGATTCCAGCTTTTAGAGCCCACCAAATGATTTTATCACCAGGGGCATTTTGGAGACAGGAGACACCAGGGTTCAAAGCTTTGTGTGAGGCAGAAAACCCCCAAGAGTCCCTAGCCAGGATGTGACACCTGGCCTGAATGGAGGATCTACCTGTCCCTTCTCAATCCACTCTACAAAGCCTCCCCTGTCCAGAGAGTTCGGCTGTTCTCTAAGTAGAGAAGATAGCTCGCTATCCTGACTGATTTCCAAACTAGCTTTCCAGTTACAGACACGTCTCCATAAGAATCATGGGGCAGGGCGGAGAAGTCTAAGGGGGGGATGAGAAACATAAAAAGAAATAAAGAAAATGAACAAAACATGTATTTTTAAAAGAGAGAATAGAGTCATCCTTTTAAGAAAGCAATAGAGAACACCAAAACATATTTAAATTTAAAAATTAAAATAATTATATAATTTTAGAATATTCCATTGTGTCTTCTTTGTAAAATCCTACAAACCCTGTCTAACTACGGAAAAAACATCAGGCTAACCCAGAATGGGATGACACTCTGCAGGCTATCTGGCACTCCTCGGGTCATGAAAAACAAAAAGAGTAAGACAGTCACAGAGCAGCAGAGACTGGGGCACAGGACAATTAATGCAAAGTAGGTCCCCAGACTGGATCCTGGAGCAGGAGGATATTAATGCAAAAAATGGTGGACTCCAAATAAGTCTGGAGTTTAGTTAATTACAATGCACCAAGGTCAGGTTTCCACGGACAAATGCGCCACGAGGTGATATAAAGTGTTAACAATGGGAGGACCTCGGAGGAGGGGTCTACGGGGCACCCAACACTACCTTTGCAACTTTTCCACCTTGTTCAAAAGGTACTCTGCTGTATTAAGGAGTAGAAAGAGAAGAAACGAAAAGAGAGAGAGCAAGAGTACAAGAGACGCAGGGAGAGGGACAAGGAACGGAGGCAGAGAGAAGTGAGAAAGCCCTCAGGAACCCTACTCTGCTGAAAATCCCCTTGGCTTCCTGACAAGCAGGGGACCTCCTCCGGCCCAGCACCCCCACCCAGCACCTGCCAGTCTCTGGCTCCCCACTGGCTCCCGGACACCTGCTCCCTGTCCCTGAAGCCAGACGGCGAGCCCCTCACCATGAGAAAAGAAACATCATCCTCCTTCATCTCCACCTGTAGCCGCTCAATCTCATGGGCCAGGGCTTCGGTGTCTTCCGCCAGCCGCTTCATCTTCTCCTCCACCAGACGCTGCTTCTGCCTCGCCTCCTCGGCCATGGTGTCCAGGATGGCTTGCTCCTCCACTCGCAGGAACTCGCGAAGTTTGTCGAACTCCTGCCGGATTCGCCCTTCCAGCCAGGCAGCCTCCACCTACAGCACAGAGCAGAATGGGGCCACGGGGCTCAGGCCCAGAGGGAACTTCTCAGGCATCACCTGGCCTCGGGACTCTCAGGTTTCTAGCAAAGGAGCTCGAAATTTCAACAGAAACCGTGGGCGGAACCCCAACAGGTAAAATACAGATGCAGGTTTATTAGCACAAATTTGTAAGTTTAAAGTCACACAGCATGAGGCTGTCTTGATAAAGTAAGAAAATCAAATCAAATCTGCTTATCAATGAAACCTGTCATCTGTATCTTCCTCAACACACAATATTCCGTATCTTGGTTGGGTACACCATAGCAAGGGAAATCCTGAATGACAGAAATGAACTGTTGCAAATAACGACTTTTAAAAATTATCTGCCTTCCCATCTTAGGACTTCAAATCTCTCTGATCCAGAGGCTTACAAAAGAGGAGTAGAAAGCACTTATTTTAAAGCTGAATCATTCACAATATGCGTACCCCTAATCGTAACTACAAAAAACTTTAAAAAAGTTAGAACAGGGGCACCTGGGTGGCTCAGTCAGTTAAGCATGTGCCTTCGGCTCAGGTCAGGATCCCAGGGTCCTGGGATCGAGTGCCACATCGGGCTTCTTGCTCAGCGGGGAGCCTGCTTCTCCCTCTCCCACTCCCCACTCATGCTTTCTCACTCATTCTCTGATTCTCTCTCTCTCAAATAAATTTTTAACATTAAAAAAAAAAGTTAAAACCATAAATGCACTCAAAGAAAAAGCAGAGAAATAGTTCTCATCTTGGAATGAGAAAGACTTTTTGTAATAAAAAGTGAGGGTAATGAAGCCACTCGACAGTTTTAGGCAAAGGAGTGATGCAATCCGGGTATTTTTCGAAAAGATCAGTACACTCTGTGGAGATGAATTGCAGAACAAGAGTGGAAGCTGGGGGGCACCTGGGTGGCTCAGTCAGTTAAGCATCTGCCTTCAGCTCAGGTCATGATCCCTGCATGGCAGCTCCCTGCAGAGCAGGGAGCCTGCTTCTCCCTCTGCCTCTCTCTCTCTCATGAATCAATAAATAAAATCTTAAAAAAAAAAAAAAAAAGAGTGGAAGCTTGGGGCCCAAGTAGGAGACCAGGTGAGAAACAATGGAGACAGGGCCAAGATGGTGGGTGGCGGGGGAAACAGAGCGTCGGGTGGACAAGATGTATTTTCCGTTAGAGAGGCCAGGACTGCTGGTGGAGTGGACCCGAGGAGGAAAAGGGAAAAGAGGAATAACTAAAGAGCCCCAGGTCATCGGTGGCTTGAGCAGCTGGGTAGATGGTTAAGTGCAGCACGTGTTCAAGCTAGTCTGAAACCACAGTGCAGATGGCACAGGTAACTTTTCACGCCCCTCCCACAGCTGCTGGCATGGCCACGCCCAGCTATTTAGAGAGACCATGGCAGTGTCGCCACAACCAGCAACCTGGGACGTGACTATGCTGGACCCTCAGGGTTAAGGAAAGCTGATTCTGGGTCAACACCCACAGTCAGGGCAGGCCCACCCTCGCCTCTCCCCCCCCAATTCCCCCACTGACCCAGGTATCCCTAATCTCCCCGCCCAGCCGGAGCACTCACCTGATTGTGCTTGGCAATGGCCTCGTAGGATCGCCTCATGGCCCAGAAGGCCTTGGCTTTCTCCCGCAGCGCGTGCTCCATGTTCCTGCACTTGGCCTGCCATGAGGAACGAGAAGGAGGAACATTAGGGCTGGATGCCAGGCAGGGGCAAGACATACTCTATTCACAACTGGAGTCCCACTTGGGGGCGGGGGGAGGAGGGGCTCAGCTCAGCCACATTTACTCAACCCATCTGTCCACACGCTGCACGGCACAGCCCTGACCTTGAATCTAGGTTTTAGCATAAAACTCTCTCAGACACCTTCTAGCCGGCCCCTTTGTTTTATACCTGGTACAGACGGGGAGACAGAGCCGAGGAGTAAATGACCCGTTCCCTCTCAAGCTGGTCACAGTCCAGCAGAGAAGGGCACCCCACTCAGGCCTACAGCTGGTCCAGGCTGTCCATGAACCCCTGAGCTGTTGCCACTCTATAGACAATGTGCTCACAGGCTCTCCTGAGGACTTTCTAAACTGGACTGGCCTGCAGTCAGTAATGAAAAGGTCTGATTACAGGTGATCCAGTTAATCCTATAGGGCCTTATCTAAACTACACGTCTCCCCACATCCCCACCTTATTGCAGTATTCCAATAGTGCATGGGCCATGCAAAATACTTTAATCACTACTTTAATCAAATACTTTCTGTTTAGTAGTCTTGTTTTTTTAAACTTAACCATTATTAACTCTGATCTCCTTGGACTCCTTGAAGAACCATTACCAGTTTGAGGCTGGATTCCTACCTTTTGTATTCAAGGACGATCCATTTCTCTCCATTTTTATCCTTTTCTCTCCTCATTCTGAGAAAGCATACCAAGTTTTTCTTTGGAAAAATAGTAACAATTCTAGTGGCAGTAATTATAAATGACTAGCATTTATTGAGCATTTACTATTTGCCAGGGAATGTGTTCATTACTTTACAAATCATGTCACTTAGGTGATGAGGTAAGTAATAGGATTAGACTCATTTTATAAATTAAAAAAAGAAAAAAAGCCAAAAGCACACAAAAGGGAAGTGACTCGCCCAAGAGCACACAGCTAGTGTGTGGCAGCACAAGGATGTGAACCTAGACAGTGGAGGTAGGCAGCCTCTAAGATGGCCGCCCCTGGTGATCCCTCCCTCCTGTGAGATAGGAAAGTCTACTGCTCTAAGATTCCAAGTTTGGGGCTGATTTGTTATGCAGCAATACATAATACAGATCTGTCCTCAAAAGCCTCATCCCCACCTGGACCTGATTCAGATGATGAGATTCAGAAGCGGATGCTGTAATGGGATAAGACGTTTGGGGATCTTGGGAGGGGGTGAGTGTATTCTGCATGCTAGGGGGACAGGAACCATTGGGGAATAGAGGGCAGACTGAAGGAGGGGGCCTCTAAAATGGCCCCAGTGGTCCCCACCTCTGGGGACTCATGCCCTGGTAGAATCTGCTCCCCATGGGCTGGACCTGATGACTTGCTTCTAACCAGCAGAATGCGGCCAAAGCAAAGGGATATCGCCTCTGAGATGAGGTGACTAAAAGCCTGTGCACATCCTTTCTCGCCGTCCATTGTTTGCTCAGCTGGATGGAAGCCACCTGCCACGTTGTGATGCAGCCTATGGAGTGGCCCACGGAGCTAGGAAGTAAAGATGGCCTCCAACCGGCAGCCCATGAGGACTGTAATCCCACCAGGGGCCACACAAGTGAGGGAGCTCGAATGGCAACCTTGGCCTACTTGAACTTTCAGATGAGACCACAGCATGGGGAGAGATCTGAAGCAGACATACCCAGCTAAGTCATGCCCAGATTCCTGACCCACAGAAACCACGAAGTAATAGATACTGCTTGTTTTAAGCCAGTTTTTGGAGGTAATTTGTTATGCAGCAATAACTAGGCTGTCTGTCCTGCCCCACAGCCCATTCTCTTAACAGCTGTACTCCAGAAAATGATTTCATTTTCTGCAGGTTTCTTCTTTTCTATTCATTTTGGCCACTTTTATGATCTTCTTGAGAATAGGTAACAGATCTTTTTGTTTTCTGCAGTATAACATCTCTAAGGTGCCTCCTCAATAGCAAAATCAAATCAGTATGAATATCCCACAAGGCCAGTGAAATACCATCCTAATGTTTTGTGGCAGAAGATGTTTTGTTACAAAGTCATATAATAAAGTTCAAAACAATTCTGTGATAAGCGTGGATGACAGGAGTGAAGCAACTGCCCACACATGTTACCCAGGGGTGTGCTGGCCCCACAACAACGCAGCCCAGCCCTCTGCCTTCAAACTTGACAGCTACGGAGTTACAGGCGGATGAGGATGGGGGGGGGGCCAGTCCCTGTCCTTTCCCAAACTCTTGAAGCACTTGGAAGAGTTCTGGTGTCATTCAGCAAAGACCAATCCCGAAATGACCCTTCTCTGAGGTGTGAGTTGATGAGATCCACTAATGATTCTATTAGTAACAGGCAGTTACTACGGCACATGCGCTATGGCATCATGCACTAAATTAAGCACCTAACAGAGATCATGCTACTTAATTCTTACATTCTTGTGAGGCAGGCACTACACTCCTCTTACACAGAGGAGAAAATAAGGCCCAGAGGAGCTGAGCAACTTGCCAAAATTATAGTTAGACTTTAGCAGAGCCAGGATTTGTATCCAACAATAAAGGCCATGTTCTTAGCCACGCTACACACCCTATCTCATTCAGAAAACGAGTACTGTTTGTCTGCCTGCCATTTATGTTTCTGAAAGTGTCATCTTATTCCCAAACTTGTTGTCAGCTTTCTTTAGTTCTAGAGTAAGTTTATAATTCTGTCAATACTTTGCCCAATTCCTTCAATAACCTAGCATGTTAATGAATTTCCTCCCATAAATGTCAAACTAAACAACACATTTTAAAAACTAATGGCTATTCCCAAACTGGAAAACCAACCAAATGTCCATCGAGAAATGGCTAAATTATGGTATATTCGAACTACTGACACACAGTACATGGGCAAGTTTGTGTATATACGTGTGTGTGTGTGTGTATATGAATTTATAAAAGTTTATATATATAAATATATATACACACATATTTGTATATGTGTTCTCATGTTTATATGTGTATATATGCATACACATAAAATTTACATAGATGTAATATACATACATAAATAAGTACATATACAAATTTTGCCAGAAAGAAGCCAGATACAAAAGAGCATATATGGTATCATTCCATTTACGTGAAGCTCAAGAACCGGCAGCACTAATAAGGTGACAGAAATCAGAAGGTGGTTGCCTCCTGGTGGACTGGCTGGGAAGAAGGGAGCTCTCCAAGATGACAGAAATGTTCTATTAGTTCCTTTGATGAGGCAAGTATACGGTGTGTGTAACACTCAGAACTCTTCAGACTCAACAGTTAAGATCTATGCATCTTATTGTATATAAATTATACCTCAAAATTTTTAAAGCCTATAAAATGAAAACTTTAGAAGTGTTGGCCTTTTCTTGTCACTTACCAAGAGCGTTCCTTCCTCAATGAAATCCCTTCAATTTCTCTCAAGTTTAATGAGTTGTTTTTTAGCTTTCAATCTCTTATTGTTGGCAATTAATTTGCTTTGGCATAAAACATAAATGTGCCTTAAGTAGTTATAAATGGAACACCTCTTACTCACACCCAGGATGTGCCCCCTTTTCAATCTTATCCCCTTCTTCCTATCGGAGGAAACAAAGATCCTAATTTGTACAGCATTTCCCTGCTTTTCTTCATAGTTCTATCACCTATATACGCATCCCTAATCTAAATAATATACTTCAGTTTTGCCTGCTTTTGAACTCTATATTAATGGAGCCATTCTGTACACATTTTGTGTCTTGTTTCCTTTACCCTGACATTAAGGTTTGTAGGATTCAAACACGTTATTGTATGTTAAGTTTATCATTCATTGTTGCATTGTATTCCCCTGTATGAACACACCACAATCCTTTACCCATTCTGGTGTTCATGGACAGTTGGCTCATTTACAATCTTCAAGTAATACAAATAGCATGAACCTTCTTATATACATCTCCTGGCGCACATGGACACTTGTCTCTGTGCAAAATATCCCTGGAGGCAGAAATAGGCCACAAATATGTGAATCTTCAACTTTAGTAGATCATGTCAAGCTGTTTTCCAAAGCAGGTGTACCAGTTTATACCACACAAGTGATGTTAATGAAAAATGTTTCTTAACCATTTGGATCTTTTATCTTTAAATACCTGTTCAAACCTTTTGACCATTTTTCAATGGAGTTGCCTGCCACTTTTCTACTGGTTTGTAGGAATTTATTATAGATGTGCAATATATGTCTTTTCATGGGGTAGATGCGTAATAAGTATGTTCTATTATATATAGTATATGTAATAGAATAGAATATATAATATTCTATTATATATTTCTTAATTTCAATATGGTCAAATTTATCAGTCTTTCCTTTAGAATTAGGGCTCCTTGGTTTTGTTTTAAAAATACCTCCTCCCTTCCCAAACTGCTAAAATAAAAAACCCTCCCTATCTTGGGGTCACAAAGATAATCTATATTATTTGTTCTCAGCTTTACGGCTTTCCTTTCTCATTTAGGTCCAATGTGGATAACCTGGAGTTTATCCTGTGAATGGTGTGACCCGGGAACTCGCTGCCTCAGAACCATTATTTAAGAGTACTAGCATTCCCCACTGATGTACAGGCCACCTCTACCACACATCAAACACAGATGTTTCCAGTTCTCTAGTCTGTTCCCCTGGCCCACCTGTCTGTCTTCTGCCAACATTACACAGTCTTAATTTTGAAAGCGGTAAAATATTAAGAGCTAAATGTCTCCTAAGATTGTTTTGGCAATCTTTGGCTCTCTGAGTTTTCTTTTTTTCAGGATTTTATTTATTTATTAGAGAGAGAGAGAGAGAGAGAGCGCACGCGCGCACAAGCAGGGGAAGGGGCAGGCAGAGAGAGAAGCAGGCTCCCCACTGAGCAGGGAGCCTGATGCGGGACTCATCCCATCTAACTGAGCCACCCAGGAGCCCGGCTCCGAGTTTTCATACAAATATTGGAATCAGCTTGCCA